ATCATGCTTTCTAAATGAAATTTAAAAGAATTTGATTAAAAAAATCTCTATTTCAAAGCTTGGATTCCATATTTTCATATCCACAGGAAGTATCTAAAAGAGCTGAACTTCTGAACGCACAAGATAACGCAGCTAAGCTTTTTAGGTCTGTTCATCCTTTTCTTAAAAGCAAAACAAGCAGCCCTAACAGAAAAGCACCAAATAAAAAACAAGCACCCAGCAGCAGAGCCCTAAGACAGAACGGACTTAGGACAAAAAGCCTACAAAGCAGTTAACCATGGAAGAAAACAGGCTTCCACTGGGAAAGCAATGGTGCAAGCAGAGCAGCAGTTGGAGGGCTGCACAAAGTATTTTCCCCAGAAGCTGAAAGCAGATGTCAGTTACAACTCCTTCAGAAACATCTTCAACTTTGCCCTAAAACATATCTGCTGCAGGTACGAGGTTCTGCACATGCAGGTTGAAGCCTGTGCAAGAAGAAATGAATCAGAGTGAAGCACAGCCTCTTGGTCATACTGAAAGCCAAAAGGTCTCTGGCCCATATTCTGTTTTACTGTTAGTATAAATTTATTTTTGTTTTAAGCTACACTTGAAAGCTGTTATTCTCCCTCATGTATACCACAACAAACATTTCCTAAAGAATTTCAGATTTAAGGAAAAATATCATTGAAGCCAAGCGAGAGAAGAAAGCATGGAGCACATATGGAGCATGTGCTCAACAAACAGAGCAGCAATATTTAGGGTCAGTCCCTCACTGATGTAAATTTTGAGGCAATCCCTTCTAAGGAAGCAGCCTTCCATGGAAGAGCCATGTCATGGCACACATCTGACTCCACTCTCACCTGGGAGTTTTTCATTCAAAACCATTACAACAATCCTTACTCAATTCCACTGTCCTTGGCAATTGTTTGGTTATCTAATTCCCAGGCTGGCCCTATTAATTTAATTCAGCACGTTTAATTAGCGTTGAGGAAGACTGCCCCTAATATACCACAGGAATCCATGATGCAGAAAGCAACAGTACCTCACGACTCTGAGCATGGTTTGTTTTCAAAACTCTGCTGGATATTAGAAAAGCTCCTCAGCTTTAATAACCAGTGGCACAGGGCTCCCATGGGAAACACAACAGAACTGTGCACAGCATCATCTGCATTTGAAATAAAATACAAATACTCTAGCTATAGTCGTAGAACTAGTGTTCTACATGCCTAATTAACTACAATCACAGAATGCTTTTAGTTGGAAGGGATCATTACAGGCCATCTGATCCAACTGCCCTGCAATGAACAGGAACATCTATAGCTTGACCTGTCCATCCTGGTCTTGACTGCCTCCAGGGATGGGGCACCACCACCTCTATGGGCAATTTGTGCCTGTGCCTCACTACCCCTACTGCAAAAAGGTTTTCGTTATATTCAATCTAAATCTCTCCTCTTTCACTTTGAAACCATTTCTCCCTGTTCTGTCACAACAGACTCTGCTAAAGAGCCTGTCCTTTCTTAGAGCCCCTTCAGATACTGACAAGCCATTCTCAGCTCTCCCCGCAGCTCTTCTCCATGCTGCACAGCCCCAGCTCTCAGCCCATCCTTGTAGGGAGGTGTTCCATCCCTTGGATCATCTTTGTGGCCCTCCTCTGGACACGCTACAACAGATTCATAACTTCTCCCGCGCTGAGGACTCCCACATCCTCACCTTCCAACCCATTCCCTCAAGGGCTATGTGATGAGTAGTTGCCAGTGACTGATGCAAAAAAGCTGCTGAGTACCTCACCTTTACCCTCGTCCAGCCTGCCTGTATTACTCACTAGTGGAGGCATGCCTTCTTGGACTAACCTTTTCTAGTTGAGGTACACACCTTTCTTGGCTCTCCTTACCAAAACCAGTTCCAGTTGAACTTTGTCTTCTTCACTACATCCCTGCACAGCCTAGTAGCATCCCTATACTCCCATGGTACCGGTCCATGTTTCTACTGCCTGTGCATTTTCTTCTTGCTCTCTAGTCTATCCAGCAGATCCTGGTTCTGACACCTGCCGATCTCTTGCCTTCGTTTCTTGATGGCCTACACCTGGGGATGGAGAGCTTGTGTCACTACAGCCCAGGCAGCCTCCAATCCTGACGCCTCCAACCAAATTCACTCACATTGGTGAACAACAGGTTCTGTTTTGCATCCCCCCTGGTGGGGCCATCTATTATTTGACTCAGGAAGTTGTCCTCAGTGCATTCCAGGAGCCTCCTGGATTGCCTACAGCTCACCACGCTACTTTTCCAGCGGATATCATGGTGGCTTAAGTCTTCCAGCAGGTTGAGAGCCTGTGAACACAATGTCTCTTGTAGCTGGAGGAAGAAGGCTTCATCAATAACCTCCGTTCCATCAGGCTCCAACCACTAGGCTCCCTTTTCTGCCTCAGTCTCTAACTCATCCGTAGGCTTTCAGCTTGCTCATGGCCATTCTTCATGGACAGCTCTTCACACTCTGTACATCTATTGATGCACAGGGCAATGCCTCCTCCCCTCTTTCCTCACCTGTAGCTTCTAAACAACTCTAGCTGTCAACAGCCACACTCCAGTCGTGGGAATTATCCCACCAGGTTTCAGTGACTACACCATAGCTTTCTAGTAGCACGGTGGCTTCCAGCTCCTACAGTTTGTTTCCCAAATTGGCTGTATTGGTACAGAGGCACTTTAGCTGGGCAGCCAGCCTTGTTGTCTTCTTCGAGGATAACTCATATTTCCTTTGAAGCATTTCCAGACTTGCCCTCTTCTATTGTCTCAGTGGTATTTGGGCATGGAAACCAATAGCTTATAGTTTTATTTCAGTGTTAGTCAGTACGACCAGAATGCAAAATAGAGGCACATAGCCTAACTTGAAACTCAACACTGCTTAAACTTGGTTTAGTGAACATGCTACTGTGGTAAGATTCCCATTAAGTCCATTGTAATCCTCTTCTGCTTTCTGTTGTGCAAATTAGACTTTCTTCATTTTAAACACTTGAGCCACGTGACACCCATAAAAAAAACAAAAAATAAACAAAAACAAAACAAAAACAAACAAAAAAAAAAACACAAACAAACAAAAAAAAAACCCAAACATTACTCTGGCAGCAAATATACTTAAAACACAGTTTCTTTTGCAGAACACATAGCAAGCTCCAAAAGCCACAACCAAAAATCTTGCTCATCCTGCTAGTGAAAAAATGCTTATAACAGTTGGCAACAGATAAGACGCAGGCCAATACATCAAATATTTAAGTTAAAACAGAAACGATAAGGAAGCCAGATCCTGGCCAATGCTAACGATCTGCACAGAAAGCGGTGACATCCAGGGACCTGCGTAGGGCAGAAAGTCCCCTCCCGGTGCTGTTTACTTTTCGGACGGCGAAGTTAGCAGAACACCGCACTGCGCACCGTGGTTAACGGGCTCGCAGGGCGCTCGTGCTGCCATCGCTTTGCCTCCGGGCCCCCGCAGCCAGGCCCCGGCCGACCCGCTCCCCTCAGCCCCTCGCTACCTGCTTGCTGTCCTGCCGGTGCCGCACCAGGCTCACCTCCCCGTAGCTGCCCTTGCCCACAGCTCGCAGGAAGCAGTAGGCGGCTAGGGGCATTCTCTCGCCGCCGGCCCCGCGGCGGGCTCCCTCAACGCCCGGCGGTGGCTGTCGCCACCCGGGGCCGCCCGCCCGGCAGCGCGGTGGCCGCTGCCATAGAGATGCCGTCGGCTCCCCGCCGCCACAGAGAGCGCGGCGCGCAGAGCGGCCCGCTGTGCGTCTCTATGGTGCGAGCTCTGCGCCGCCATCTTGGAAGCGGGCGAAGCGGCCATGTTAGGAGCGGGCAGGGCGCCTGAGGGAAGTGCGAAGCCGAGTGCCGCCGCCATCACGAGTAGCAAAGCCGTCCCCTCAAAAACAGCGGCCGACGGTCCCCGCGGTGCTGCCTGTGTGGTGTGTAGAGGCCCGGGCTGCTCGCAGCTGCTGAGCGAAGCCATCGTGTCACCTTCAGACAGCAAAGAGCTGCTTAATAAAGCTCTGGCCTGGTTTACAAGGCGCTCCTTGTCCTCTCGAGCCGTGTTCCTGGCGAGCCTCAGAAAGCTGGCTGCAGGGAAAACTGAAAATGTCTCAGAGCAGGGGAGAAGGAAGGGAAATAAAACTCTCACAGAGCACGTAGGGAAGAAAACAGTGCCCAGCCCGTCCCGTGCCGCACAGAGAACAGCTCGGCACAGAACGGCACTGTGCTTCTCTGCTTCCCGCTGCTGATCTGTTCACTTGTCTCATTTTAATGTCTTTTCATGTTAATTTTATGTTTTGCATTTGGCAATGAGAAATAAATGAAAAATGACATTTGGCATAGCTCACTGTGTATCTCCAGTGTTTTATTACTGAGGGTTTACCTCACAGACACCGAACTTGGGGTTTTCGTGCAATGGAGGAGATGGAACCAGTTAAAAGATGAGGAATCAGTGCTGTGGAGATAACAAATAAAGTAAACGGGCCTGGCACCTGCAGGCAGAACGGATATGAATTGTGCAACATGTAAGATCTGTGAGCTAGGAGCTGAATTCCAGCCATCAAAATGACCAGGAAAACATGAAGTTTCTGGGATAGCCAAGATATGCGTCAGATACTGGCGCCTCAGTCGAGAGCCTGAGTGGCATGCAGGGTTATAAAGGGCAGTTTATAGGAGTACAAATGAGTATAAATGAGTTTACAAGACTGCAAGCTTTGGAACAGCTGTGGTGAAGCTGAGGCATGACAGCTTTTCAGAAGATATCAGAAGGAATACAGAAATGGCTGTTGGAGTTCTGTTTGCAGGTGATATTACATAGAGATCCATGGCTGAAATGTTCTTCCAGCTCAACATAAATATTTTGTAGCAATATTCTGTAGATCATACAAATCAAAATTCAGTGTTTAATTTTTTCTGTACACTTAATCCCACTTTTCACATGAGGTTATTTATTAACACTCTGTAAACAAAGCATTGTATATTTATTTGTGTCGTTCAGATGAGAATCTTACTTTTTTTCCAAAATGGAAAGTCATCTATTGCTTTGCATTTTATTATTGATTCCTGCCTTTGCATCATCAGACTTTTTGGTAGCACATGTCAGAAACGTTAAGGTAAGTAATCAACCGTGTGTGCTGCTCCCATTCTTTGTAGATTAACTTCCTGCCGTTTATCATCATTTTCCAGGGAGCTCGTACAGTGCTGCCACCAGGAGATTTCTGTTCTCTGTTATCGAGGAACACCAGCTCAGATTTGGGTCTGGAACTTTAATCAGCCTCAGTTTTGAATCAGCTATGAAGAAGCTCTCCTATCTCTCTTTTTCAAAACATCACTTTCCTCTGTTTTCCCTGTCATTGCTGTATAATAGTAAAGCGTTCTAGAGCTTTTACATTCAGATGTATAAAAGATTCATTGCTGCCATATAACTCATTATAGCACCTGAATGGCAGTGACAGTGAAAGATGCCTCCAAAAAGAAGAAATGTAAGAGGAATGTAACGTGGCATCCTGATAAACATTTCCGTGGCCCAAGTGACTTAGTAGGATTTTTCTCAAGAGATTTGTGTTAGCATATCATGGAATATATCTGTGCCCCACATTCTGCTTTTGGCAGATCCCTGAATAAGGCAGTGCTTCCTGATATTCTGAGTAATTATCTTCATTTAAGTTGCAGACCACTACTCAGTAAATGGCTTTCCTCTCCCTCAGTGGTTAAATCCTATGAAAATTACAGAGGGCAGATCTCTTCAGGGGGGATTGTCAGTTAGTGGGTGAACAGGGCAAAGCAATTGGCAGTCAGTCTCTTCTGATGAAGTTATCATCTTTGCCAAGACTCTTTCTTTGAAAATAGGATAATAACATATCTAACTTTTTAAAATCACCTTGAGATTTACAGCTGCAAATTAGAAATGCCAAAGAGTCTTATTTAGCTCATACTTATCCCAGATATAATGTATTTTTTTCCCTCTCAATTTCTATACCAACCGTAATTCTCTCTGTGCCTTACAGTGCTAAAGCCTCCCTAAATAGATGACCAAGGCTCAGTGCTATGCTCCATCTGTACGTGCACAGCACTTCAGAAAAGATGTTTGATTCTGCCAGTTTATGCTATGTATTTTTTGCAAATGTCATTTTATTGAAATGGAAACGATTGTTGTGTGTTGTGATGGAGTCAGTCCAAATCTCTGTACTAGCTCTTTTGGGCAGGTAGTTCACCACTGATGGGTGGTGAAAGATGTCTGCAAGTCTATCTGGTACATGGGTGACGACCTTCAAGTTGTCAAAGCTACCTTTAAGGCTACGGTTAGATAAACTCAACTGGCAGAGCCAAGTCTGCTGAAAACTGAGGAACAAGCAAACAAACAAAAAAAACAACAAAACCAACCCAAAATCTAAGATGCCTGAATACATTTGTACTTCTTTTTGTATACACATAACTATTAAGGGCGGATTTTTTTTTAATTTTTATTTTTTAAATAAAACTATTCAAAGTGTTCAGTGCACGGGTAGCAGTGATGCAGCTTTCCTTCTCCGACCCTCTCCTTCTGGCAGCAGCAAGACTCCTGTGTAGTTTAGCATAACTTAGTTGAGCCATTCTCTCTTCTCTGTGATTTCCAATTAGCATCACTTGCAATGATGGAATCTGTAATGTTGTTGTTGATTTGAAAATAATTTTTTATGCCTTATTTTTCCTATCCATACATAGAGGTTTACATAAATATGTTGTGTAGCCATAGGTCACTTCAAATTAACTGTACAGTCTTTGCTGAATCTCTTAGTCACGCTGTATTTTAGTTTCCCAAGCTATAAAATCACGGTTTCTTTCAGTAAGTACTGTAATGGAAGCCCTCTTTCCCCACCCTTTATTCTTGGGAGTTCAAATTTCTTTTTTCCTCTACTTTTGGGTTTTAGTAGATATTTTGCATCTGTATTTTTTGCTGTTGCCACAGCGGAGAATTCTACAAAAGAAGAATGAATATCACTGTTATTAACTAAAAGAAAAACTTTCCAATAGTTGGTGCTACTGGCAAAACTGTGGAAACACTTGGAAACATTGTAAATGTGACTTCTGACTGTAATTACACAAGTCAGGGAAATCCCATTTCTTAATGGGATGTTACCGTTTTCTGCCCGCAGAGCTCGAAATGACATCAGCATAAGCGAGGTCTCTAGCTTTCCATCTAAGTGAATCATTAAGAATGAGAAATATCACAAAATAGCAGAACCAGCTCATCTGGCCCCGTGTCAGATGAGGCTCTGTTCAAGCAGGCAGCCCAGGATGATTGGGTCTGAGTATCTCTGCCCAAGATTCGCCCAAGCCACGATACCTTTCACTGGAGGATTTTCCTCTACTGGCTGTTTCAGCGAGAATGACAGCGTAGCACTAAAAATATTGACAGAATCAGAGCAGAACTCATTCAAAACTACTGTGGAACCTGTAATTTTGCTAAAGAACGTTCACATCAGCAATTCAGGAAAAATGAAATGCGTGTGAAGTATTAGTTTAGATAGTAGTAGTCAGAATTGCAGGATTTGTAGCTAAAATGTAACACGTTTTTAAGAAAAGGGTGCAGAACAAGCAGACTTTTCAGATACTTTGATTTTTTTGTTTCTAAGGTCTATACTTTGGTTTGTGGTTGGTTTTTGTTTGTTTGTTTGTTTGTTTGAAGAAGATGAAATGATTGACTGTAATGAGAGTATGGATACAGAAAAGACAGATTTTGTAAGGGAGTGATTTGAAGTGGTGGGTACACAACACAGGCATTAAAAAAGCCCACATCAGTTTGTGAAGCAGGGGAGACATGCATGTAGAAATCACCTGTGTGGCAATAGCAGTTTGAAATATGGATTGCCAGACTCTTATAGAACTATAGAAGCTTTCTCCAAATCCCTGCATTACCACTGACTTTATATATAAAGTCCTGGGGAAAAAAAAAGAAGAACAAAAAAAAGAAAGAAAAAAACCCCAGTCTTGTGTGTCTCTATTTTCAGCCTGTAGAAGTCCTAAATGTGAAAAGTAACAAAACCCATGAATGTGCCCAACATACATCTCTGATCTGATCTCTCTGCGTCCTTACTGCTCTGTTCAGTGGAGTATGCAAACACGAAAAGAAAACTTGTACAAAATGTGACCCATGAGGCCCTTGGAGCCAGATGAGATAAGGATTTGCAACCAAGATTACGGGAACGCAGTTACACAAGACACTATCGTAACATGAGTTCCCAAGTATGTTTCAATCCTGTTATCTCTTTCAGGTCATGAGAGCACGTGGTATTTCTGTAGAGCTGCTGATATTTGCAGTCATTCTGAGAAAGAGCAACTTTCTTTTTCCCCTCCATGCAGCCTTTCTACTGCAATTCTACTTTTTATGCTCCCTCTCTGTGAGCCTGCTGAATTGCCATCTGATGTGTTACTGTTAGAGTGAGAGGCTGGTGGGGTGGAACGGGTTAAAGCATCAAGATCTGTCTGCCTGATGACTGGAGAGTGTTTGTGACTGAGTATGCAAACCATTTTGTATGCTTTGATATAAAACCTATTTATCTCCCAAAGGAAAATGAGCTGGAAAAGACAAAATACATACCAAAAGACCTGAAAAAAACATTCCCAAGAAGATGCCTAAATGAGGCTTTCCTACTTTACTCATGACTTTTTTTTTCCTTTTTTTTTTCTTCTCTTTACAGAAGCGAAATTCTGATAATGACTTGGTGAGTAGTCTTCTCTTATATGAAGGGTTGGTTCTGATCAGGCCACGGCTAAAGATTGTAAGTGACAAGAATATTCTTTGCAGAAGATTTCTCTGAGTCCAGTCTGAGCAAACGGGCATTCCTGGCTGTGTGGAACATGAGAAGGAGCCCAGAGCTGCTTGGTTTAGGCACTAAGACTAACAAGTCTGTACTTTTCAAAGCTCAGACAGGGAGTCCTGCACAGGGAAGGAGTGTGAACAAATAATTTGCAACCTCATGTTGTATTTTAATAAATAGCAGTGTCTCTAACACTGTTTTTATGTTGTAGTTATTTCTAAGGAAGTCAAGAGACTGCATCTCTGAGGCTGATTCCACTTGGCACCTGGATGCCACTTCAGCAATGCTGAATATGTTTTGATCTCGGGGGGAGAAGTTCTTAGTAACCCACCAGAGATCAGGCCTTGCACAAAACTCACAAGCTTCTTTTCACTGCTGATTATGTTGCAGTCAGATCTTGTTATTGCAGAGCTGCCTAAAGAGGCACATGCGCTGTTACCTATGTTTTCCTGCAGTCTCAAGTAACCTTATTCCTGAGCATTCAAAACAAACAAGTCATGCCCAACTCATTTCATTTCTTAAACAGGAATGAGCCTCAGTGGTGAGGAAACTGAGGATAATAAAATGGGATTTGAAACCCATCTGGAACTGGTTAGATCTATTTTTATACAAGATGATTCCTTCCATCCCTGCTCTGGGAGTCAGCCACTTGGTTGATACTAGCAGTGCAGTGCTGACTACGGAAGTCTCAGTCTCAGTCTCAGTGGAGAGAAAAAGCAATTCTTACAGTGGCATCATCTTTGCCAAGGTGGCAGTATTTTGTTAAAGGGGCTGTAGATATGACTCATAGAAATAACTCTGTCAGTTCTGTAGACACCCAAGGAAACACTGCTGTGTCCCACGTCTTATGATTAGGTCTTCCTGTTTCACTTTGGAATGATAGAATCTCCTGCAGTAATTTCTTTCTATAAAATCATGACAGACATCACTATAACAGCTGGCTCTGTTCTTTCATCTTCAATGTACAGGTTGTCAATGGGATAGAAATATACAGAATGAAAATTGATAGCAAAGTGACTTCCCGATTTGCCCACAACGTCATCACCAGTCGAGCTGCCAATCGTGGAAATGCACACAAAGAAGTCTTCTTCGATGTCGAGCTCCCCAAGACAGCCTTCATTACCAACTTCAGCATGTGTGTACATTTTATAATTTTCTTACAGTAGCCAAGCCAAAAAGTTCAGTTTTAATTGGCTGTTTGATAGATTGAGTAATTTTCTGATACTGTTAACTTCAGATGCAAGATACTTGGAGGTAGGCAAACATCTATAGAAAAAAGTGACTGATTTTCAGTTATGTCTCTTTGTTATCACAGACCTTGGGGAATTGGAGATCCTCTCCATGGATACACTCAACTTTTCAGAAATATAACTTATTTTACTCTGCTGTTATCAAACCCCAGAAGTTCCATCACTTAATTGGCATTCCATTACTGTAATTGGCATTACAAATTTCTTTCTTCATGTAGAAAGTGTTCAATTGAGAGATAGGAAATAGAGGAAATTATTCCTTAAATTTGTGTCTTTAGATGCAGTAATATGCAATTTTCACACTTTTATTAGGTTTCAGCTTAGAAGTGTCCATCTCAGCTAATCACACTAGCCCTGTGTTCTTTTCAGTGAAAAGAAACAGATGCTTTTAGGGTACAATCATTCTAAGTTATGCTAGAACTTTTATTTTAGGATGAGATTCATCTCCTGTGAAAAATGCTTGCTTATTGGTGTGAGTAGTCTATGGATGAAATTTTCAGCTATAGACACCTGCATTTGGGCAGGTGAGTCTCATCCAGAGAGTCATCCTGGTGTGTGATGAGATAGATGGGATGAGATAGATGGGATGGGATGAGACAAGATAAGACGAGACGATCAAGCTGCTAAAGTGCAGGTACAAGGTGTGTTGCTGTCAGCCTAGATTTTAGATCTAATTCATTTTCAAGGACAAAAATATTTTGGATTCAGTTCAGTGCTAAGCACAGAGCTCTTCATTCCAGGTAAAGCCTCTGGAAAGACTTGTTCATTTGTGCTTCATTACTTGTGCTCAAATCTTGGCAATTGCAGGATCCTGAAAATGCTTTTGAGCAAACCAATTAATAAATAGAGATTATAGATTATGCAATTATATAATATATTATATGCCTATAATAACTTTTCATGTATCAGTGCAAGCCAATCAGCTAAATAAGGCACTTTTTCACCCACAGGACAATTGATGGCATCACTTATCCTGGAAATATAAAAGAAAAAGAAGCTGCCAAACAGCAGTATGAGAAAGCAGTTTCAAAGGGACAGACTGCTGGTCTTGTCAAGTAAGAATGATGTCTGGTGTGGCTTCCATGCCATTACCCTGTAGGAAATTGTGAGATTCATATCTTGCTCTGGCATATTTCTGAAGCTTGTTTTCTTATAGGATCAAGAGGACAAGTATCATTAATTTAGAGTTATTTTAGCATAAATTATAAAGAAGGAAATACAATTTCTGGCAGGTAGTATCTGCAGTTAAGAAAAGAAAGTTTCTGCGTCTTTCACATGATGTGCATATCCAGTTCTGGGACAAAGCTCCTAGGAAAACTTGGATAAACTCTATGCTGTTTGATTATGACTTTAGCAACTGATGAAAATTCCCATCTTTGTGTTATTTCTTTTTAAAAATTGTACTGCACCAACCAAATGCAAGCAAGAAATATTGTGAAAGAGGATAATTTTTTTCTTACCCCCTTAAACATAGGGCTTCGGGAAGGAAAACAGAAAAATTCACTGTTTCAGTCAACATCGCAGCAGGCAGTAAAGTCACTTTTGAACTCACATATGAAGAACTACTGAAGAGGCAATTTGGAAAATATGAGATGTTCATCAAAGTAAAGCCGAAGCAGCTTGTCAAAGATTTTGAGGTAGATGTCAAATTTAATTCTGCAGCTTAAGAGATGGTGAGATTCTGTACATATATAGAAAGAGGAGTACCATGATCATTCCCACTGGCCTACAGCTGAACTGAAGGCCCCCATAATATTTCTAATGAACCACGTGGGGAGTCCCCACCAATATGCTTTACTCCAGATTTTGATTGATGGGCTTCTGAGCTAGCTCAGCTAGTAAGCCTCCAAAAGAAATGCCATACAGAAAACTGAAAAGCTGTTAAGATATTTTGGAGCAAAATAACTTTTATAATGCCTTCATAGTATCACTACAAAAATATGTCTTTCTCACATCATTATAAAAATATGTTGTGCTAAATTACAGTGATGCATATATTGCATTCTAGAACACTGGCTTTTCTGTGCTAAAACTTGTCTTTGATCACTTCTGTCTGCTTTGTTAAAACTCAGCCTTATCCATCAAATGTTGTGTAAAAATCATTACAAAACTCAGTACCTGTATGTTTAAGAGCATTATTTCAAACATATTAAGATGAAAGGCAAACTGAAATATATATCAAACTTGGCCATGGCTCACAGCTGATGACTGGATTATATTTTTGAAGGACTTAGGTATTTATTTGACATTTGACAAAATTCCACCAACTAACCATTTTACTAACCATTTCTATAGAGCTTTGTTTGTTTCTAATTTGTCTTTTAAGTTCTATGTAGAAGATACGTTGGACTGCTGTTATTAATTACAAAAGTAAACTTGTTTTCCTTTTAAGAAAATCCCTCCTTCATATCCTTCATTTCCTTCAGATCCTCCTGTAAATGTCTAAGTTGATGTACTGTGGGATAGCCAATAAAAACAATTTTCAATTCATATTTCAGATTGAAGTAAATATCTTTGAGCCACAAGGTATCAGTGAGCTGGAAGCAGAAGGAACATTCATCACCAATGATCTGCAAAATGTCATAAAGAAAACTTTCTCCCATGAAAAGGTACAGTAACGCCTTCCATATTTTATTTACTATGTAAAAGTGCTGCAGTGACTAGCAGTGAAAGTGAGAGGCTAAAAACAGAGTAAATAAAGCTTTCTTTGTGCAAATTAACTCTGAATTCCAAGCTAGGAAGCTGAAGGCTGTTACCATGCAGTTGGAAAAACACTTGCAGCTATTAGCATGGAACTGCACCTTTGTCCCACAACAACACGTGGAAGCTTGGACACCAATTGGACTATTTCCTGTGGGAGAATGGAGTCAGTAACAAGTAGTTTTCTCATGTATGAAAGTGATAGAAGTCCTAACACACAGACTGCTCAACATTCTTATCAAACGTATCATTTGGAGTGAAGGGCTGGAAGGAAGATGGAGCCAAGGAAGATGAGGAAGAAAACATCTGAAGAGAGAGCTAGGCAGCAAACCTGAGCTATTAGTTATTTATACAGTTATACTAATATACTAATATACCTAACCATATAAAACAGGTCATCCTTATGTCTGTGAATCTAAATATACCAGCTCTACAAACTTGCAGACCTATTTGTGTTCTGTAGAAAGTTTTCAGCTATTAAGATTCAGATCTAAAGAAGTTTCTCCCTTTCAGGGGCATATCTCTTTCAAGCCATCTCTTGATCAACAGCGAACCTGTGAAAATTGCTCACAGTCACTCTTGGATGGAGATTTTATTGTTAAATACGATGTGAAGAGAACAACTCCAGATAATCTGCAGGTAATTTTGCAGATAAATGTCTGGCAGATTTTCACTGTTGAATGTGCTTATCTTTCACAGATAAATGTTAGAGTAGTCAAGGTCAATTGTTCCCCAAAGGGCAGGAAGCTGACTATGACAGCTCAACCTCACCAAGACTCCAGTCCCCAGATTACTTAAGGCAGACCTAGAGATGGTATTCAGATTCAGCCAAGAGTCCAAATCACCAGGCAAATTTGTCAGGATGAGGCAAGCTGTGGTGCGAAGTCAGAATACAGAGTGGGTTCCAAATCAGTCCATGAACAGATGGGAGCAGGCATAGTTGTGACACTGCTAGAGACAGGTATAAGTCAAGCAGGCTCAGGTTTGAACTTAAACAATGCTCCTGGGCTCATGGATGGAGGTAAGATTGGTAAGAATTTGTTAGTCTACTCAGGGACTAGAGTCTAAATCAAAGTACTTTCTTTCTCATCAATTTTATCTTTGTAATACAGAAAGCTATTGGTTTGCTAACATCTGATATCCTTTTTTTTTAGATTGTCAATGGCTACTTTGTGCACTTCTTTGCACCAACGAATCTTCCAAAGTTGCCCAAGAACGTTGTTTTTATAATAGATATCAGTGGCTCAATGAGTGGAAGAGAAATACAACAGGTAAGTTATCACACTACTTTAGAGTCTCGGTGGAAGATCCTCTGTCATAATGTAAAGGACATGGTGACATAGGGTGCCTTTGACATGGTCCCACCTAACATCCTTCTCTCTAAATTGGAGAGATATGGATTTGATGGGTGGATTGTTCAATAAATGGGAAACTGGTCATTCGTAGAGAGTGGTGGTCAATAGCTAGGTGTTCAAATGGAGATTAGTGATGAGTGGTGTTCCTTGGAGGCCAGTACTGGGACTGGCAGCCAGCAGTGTGCCCTCACAGCCCAGAAAACCAACCATATCCTGCACTGCATCCAAAGCAGCATGATCAGCATGTTAGGAAGGTGACCATGCCCCTCTACTCTGTGCTGGTGAGTACTGCGCCCAGAAATGGAGTCCTCAGTACAGAAGAGATGTGGACATTTTGGATCTAGAGGAGGCCATCAAAATAATCAAAGGGATGGAGCACCTCTCCTGTGAGGACGGGCTGAGAGCTGGGGCTGGGCTTCTCAGCCTGGAGAACAGAAGGCTCTGGGGAGATCTGAGAGCAACCTTTCAATTTTTAAAGGAGCTGTAAGAAAGAAGATGAAAGACTCTTCAGCAGGGTCTGCTGTGACAGGACAAGGGGAAATTGTTTCAAACTAAAAGTGGGGAGATTTAGATTGGGTGTAAAAAGGAGCTTTTTATGATAAGGATGCTGAGGCACTGGCACAGGTTACCCAGAGATGTGCTGGATGCTGCATCCTTGGAGACATTCGAGGTCAGGCTGGAGGAAGCTCTCAGCACTGATCTAGCTGCAGATGTCCCTGTTCATTGCAGGAGAGATGTACTGGATGAGAGATGTACTGGATGATCTTTAACTATCCCTTCCAACTCAAACAATTCTATGATTCTATTATTCTGAGTTATACCAGATGCTTTTATGCTGTGGCTTCACAAATTCTCAATACTGTAAAAACTAGCTTGAAGTCTTGCTGTAGAATAAAATTCTATACATTTAGGCTATGTTTTGCTTACTTAGACGCTATTATTTCAAAACTTTCAGAATATCAGCATTTTCAGAGAGGTCACTCAGATGTGTTGGCCAGTTTCAAAATTAAATATATATATATATGGTACTCTGTCCATTATCAGTGTTGTTCTTCCTTTCTCCTCTTGGGAACAGCTCTTTTTGTAGTTGGGACTACTCAATCCAATCTAATGATCAAAACTTTCAAATTTTGGTGCTGCATTAAAATATCCACACTTGCTTATGACCTTTTCCACAAACCTGTAGCTACCTTATTTTCCAGCATTTTAATTTTGCCATGCCAACAATCTGTGATGTAAGATTTGATTTTCCTCTCAGCTAAAACAATTTTCCAGATGTAATTGCAACTGGATAACTTCATTAGAATTACTTTGAAATAGACACAGGAATAGGAAGGGTGGAACAAGCTGAGAATTATTTGCACAATTCTCTGTATGAAAGAAACAAAAAGCACTGGAAAGATTAGTTATGTAAAAGCTGCAAGCACCCATTTCTTTATAGTTGAACAATTAATTTAAATTTCTTCCTCTTACAGACAAGAGAAGCACTTCTAAAAATCTTAGATGATATTAAAGAAGATGACCACTTCAATTTCATACTGTTTGGTAGCGATGTGCACACCTGGAAGGAAACATTAATCAAAGCCACTCCTGAAAATTTGGATGAAGCAAGAAAGTTTGTTCGGGGCATTGATACTGAAGGCTGTGAGTACTTGACTTGTAGGCTGTTGAGTGTCCTAATTCTCCAATTCAGTCTGCGAATGCAATGCTACCACTTTAAAAATTGTCAATGGGACACTACTAAACTTGAAATTGTTGCAACAGATGACATCTTTTCATCCTTATGTTTGCAAAGCTCAGTTATTTTTGTATCTAAACATCCCCTTGGTAGCCAACTCCAACTTTTCATTGTCATACTATAATCAGGTTTTCTCAGATTCCCATGAAACATGGTCTGTTATTTTGACTGTGTCGAAAGCAGATTTCTATGTCTGTCTTACAGTGACAAATTTATATGGTGGAATGATGAAAGGAATTGATATGCTGAAGGCTGCTCATGAAGAAAACCTTGTGCCCAAGAGAAGTGCTTCAATAATTATCATGTTAACCGATGGCCAACCGAATGTAGGTAAGTTTGTGTTGGGTGAAATAACAGAGTGAATTAACTAACAAAAATCATTTTAAATTAAAATAGGCCGTCATCTTTGACTTCTGCTTTTTCCTTTTTCACGATTGAAATGCTACTACACCATCATCATGTGACCAAACAAGTCTTTGATAATGTCTCTTAAGAAATCCAATCACCACTAACCGCGTTTCATTTTATCCATTTATGAAGAAACTCAACCTTTTTTTCTTGTTTAATGTAGGGATATCAAATACTCAGGACATTCAGACACATGTGAAAAAAGCCATTGAAGGAAAGTATACTTTATACAATCTTGGTTTTGGTTATGGTGTTGATTACAACTTCTTGGAGAAGATGGCACTGGAAAACAAAGGATTGGCCCGTCGGATTTATCCTGACTCTGATTCAGCTTTACAACTCCAGGTACAGTAATCACAACTTAGATGAGAGATGTGTTAATTCTGGCAAGTATGCTAACTTTTTTTAAATTCTGAAGTAATCAAAAAGCAGAAAGTGTAGTCTGGTACTGAGACAGTCAAGTATGCTGTAGTCAGAATATTGGTTGCATTTAATTTTCTTCTTCCTTTCTGAAATAGTGGAAAAAAAAACCACTAAAGAGAGACTCCCCACGCTATGGAAGAGTGTTCAAAACTTGGCACAGGTGACACAAGACAGACATGGTTCTGAAGGACTCCTTGGTGTGTGCCACATTATATAAGCAGAAGTGCTGCAGTCACTATACCTTCCATATCTCACAGATTATGTCAAATGAGGAGAAGGCCGACAGAGGTTAAAGGCTCTAGATATTCTGCATTTAGGGACTTTCTGCAAGCTAACTTATTTTGCCATACTTCTGAAACATTCTGAATTCTATATGACATGAAAAGACATCAAAGTAGTATGGAATTGAATTTTTGGCTTTTGACGTGGAAATAGCATCCATTGGAAAGACTGGCCAAAATGTTGTATGCTGGATTTAATTACAAAATCAAATGCCTCATCTTCTTGGCTTGTGTTATCATTTCAGTCTCTTCAGGGAGTTGGTCTAGAAACTTTATGAAATGAAAGAACCTTGGGATCATGAGATCCCAATCTCATGATGAATGATGAAGGAACTCATCATCCACAGCATGTTTTCTTGGGTATTTTCCCTCTGTTTTAGTGAGACCAAAAAGTTGGTGTGTCCTTCCTCATTTGCCTTGTAGATTTTAGGTTTTGTATTCTGAGATGTAACTGAATATTTACATATTTCTTCTAAAATACATTCTAAATGTTCACTGCTGAAATAGCACTGGTTACAGATCTACACATAAATTAAAGAAAACATGGTGGTTAAATATTTTTCTTTTTATCCTACAGGGTTTTTATGATGAGGTGTCCAATCCTATGCTAATGGACGTGGAATTGAACTACCTAGAAAATGAAATTGCAGACGTAACTAAAAACAGCTTTAAGCATTTCTATGATGGGTCTGAGATTGTGGTGGCTGGGCGCCTTAGAGACATCAACCAAAACAGTTTGACAGTAGATGTGAAAGGTGAAGGTGTAAGTATGGATTTCTTTGACTATTTTCTTGTTCCACAAAGTATCTGTGTTCAAAGGTGGCACAACTTAAAATAGTCACACCTATGTCTTCACCTCAGTGAGAACATGTATTGCTGCGTATGTGAGAAAGCAAGAGCACCAAAGGCATTGCTTTTACAAGTTCCTTAGGCTAAGTCTGTTAGTTATACTTGGGTTAATCCAGAACAGCTTTGTGCAACGTGACTGAATAAGCTTTGCTAACTTATTTTATTTTCTTTACTCTCTAAATATCCTATCCAGTTCTTTCAGAAGCCAGATGTTCAGTGCTGGTAGGCAGTAGTCTTCATATTGAACAAGTTGCTATATAGGAATCATAATCACGATTCTTTAAATCCTGAGTAGTCAAATTCTAATTAATCAAATGTCATTTGAATTTGGAAAGTGCATTATGTCTCATAGCATACACCACTGAGCTTTTCAGAAGCTAAACAATTCCTGGGCAAGTTCTTTGTTGGACCATAATGTTTTTCAATTTATTAAGATTTTCAGGTGTTAAGGTTTTGATTTTGGAAAATACTGGGAGTCCCTGGCTTATTTTCCTTATTCCTAACAGGCTAATGATGCCCTATCATTTACTTCACACCAAGATAAGGAGCAAACAGCTAAAGCTTTCCAAGAGCAGGAATATATATTTGGAGATTTCATTGAGAGGCTTTGGGCTTATCTCACCATTGAACAACTCCTGGAAAAACGGTAATTATACCAAGAATCACACATTCAGTGAAAGCACCAAGCTGTGTGACTGGTCCAGCCTCTAGGATGTAAAGCTGGGATTGAGATCTATTTCCTTGTTTTTGCTCATCATCACACCGAGATGCCAATAAGAAAGCAGAAAGAACAGTAAGGAAAATCTCCACAACCTCACAATTTGTTTTACAGTTAGCAAATTAAACAGTTTTAAATTATCATTAATGGAAAACGCAGTTTTGTCTTTTTAGCTGCAGAGAGATTACTTCACTTTTAAAAATAGCACTTAACTCAGAGTTCAACAGTAATTTGGCAATCACTGATGCTAGGAGCCTCTCCCTGTATTCAGCATTTCAGCTACAGGAGAAGAAAAGGAGAATCTTACAGCGGAAGCCGTGGATCTATCACTAAAATACAAATTTGTGACACCACTGACGTCCATGGTGGTAACAAAGCCAGAAGACGACGAAAATCAAGCAGCGATTGCTGATAAACCTACTGAAGGTACAGACATTTTCACAGTTTTATCAAAGTTGCTTTCATGTTCATCTGAAGAAAGACTTGGGTGAGCACAGTTTCAAACACATATTGGAAAAAACTGTTTTCTGTGCCCTGCAGATGTATGGTTTGTGCAAAATTAGTTTTCCTTCTAAAGCTCATTTCTATCAAACCATCCTTCACTACCAGATCATACGGGGAAAATACTATAAATTTAAAAGCAGTGTATTTAAAATTAATATATAAAATATTGCGTCTCAAGAAAGTAGCATTTCTTATCTCATAACTCAGCTAAATTCAATTCTGTTCACATCACTTTCCCCTTAGTTGTTTATATACTTAGAAGTAAATGCAGTAGCATCTTTCTGTGTGAAAAGGGAATATTGCCAGATCTTCCTTGTGCAGAATATATCAGAGGTGGTAATACCTGTAAAACATGGTATTCATATATGTTGCAGAAGGAAAAATAAGTAGTATTGAAAGTGCACCATTTATTCTCATCTCCTTTAGTACTTTGGCTAATTATTAACTCCTTGCTCAGTAAATCATTGTACTTTCATGCAGTTCAGCCTCTTTGCTTAGCCTATGTGAAGTGGAATTACTTTATTCCTCTTTATTAAGAGCAAAGGGAGACAAATTCTATCTTCTCAGTGCACCCCAAAGCCACTCTGTCATCAGATATGTGTTGTTTGAGCCATTCTCATCTCCCCCTAATTCCACAGATCTGACAAGCCTCCTGTGAGGCTCTCCAGTCTCATCTCTCTACATCTGTTGTTTTTTTTTCCCCCTGAAACTTTAGCCTAGTGCCCCTAGTTTTGTCCCAGTTCCTAGTTCTAATCTGTTTGCTGGCTTTTGCATGAAAAACATTCTTACCTTCTGAATTGATATGATATGATAACCAGGGCATGATAACCAGGACTGACTTTAAGGTGATTTAACATAACAGAAATGCTTCCTGGTGATTAGTAAGAGTTTCTTTCAAGTGGAATAAACCTTGCAACCACTTAATTGCTAGGTGCCCTACAATATGAAATAATTCGACAGGCATTCTGCTGATAAAATTGCTTGTGTTATTTATTCAGAAATATCATGATGGAATACTGACATAAAAACGCTTCATAATTAATTTAGCATTCGAGACATTATGCAGCATAATGATTTTGTAGTTTACAGCTGGACACAATGAGATATAAAACATAAGAGCATCTAGCAGATGAGGCAGGCATTCGGAGTGACCCGAGTGACTCACAGGTCCTTTTCTGAATCTCTTTCCAAGAAAATCCTCTATCTGTGTAGAAGTGATAATAGAACTACTCAGAGCACTACCAGCTTGTAGAAAAAGAGCATAATTTTTACACATACAGGACTCTAGATTCATAACTGTTATAAAATACTGAAGATGTGCAGTTGAATCTGACAATTCAACAATAGGTTTTTTTGAATGTATTCAATTGTACAACTTAAACTGTAATTTTCTCTTTTTCTTCCTTTTACTTCTCTACTCACGATAACAGCTGAAGGTACGTACATTTGTTATTAAATTCACCTGTCATTTTTTAACTACTAGATTTAGATTTCCTTAGATTTGGATTTATTCCCTGAGAATTGTATGAAAATATTGCACCATAGATTAAGACTATTACAATTAGATTGAAAACTGTTGGGATTGAAAATTTTGGGGATACTGCTTTCAGTGTGGATCCTCAGAATTGCAGTGTGCCACCATCATGAACTTCTGGCCCAGTACAACTAAGCTGCTTTCCAGGGCTAGCACTGTTGGCTCGCAGGTGTGTAGACAGGTCTCCTCACAGAGATGCCTTCAGTGTTGCTGTGAATGCTGCTCCTTCAGCACAAATAGCCATCTACAAACACTGCTCTGTAGTTTCAAATAAACAAGACAGAAAATATGTGGGAATGGGTGGATAAATCTTACTGACATCACAGTATTAGAGTTAGGAACAAAACACAAAGGAATTAGAAAAGGAGCAGATGTCCCCAGCCCCTTACAGGACCTTTAGAGAAGTAGCAGTTTTGCTGTAAAGTGCACTGGGATTTCTGTCCATGACACTGTGTTGAAGCAAATCACAGTTTGCTTTGTTGCAGCACAAAACCCGAATAAGCTGTTGTGACGGTTTTGCTTTTTCAGGAGTGTTAAGGAATGTATACATAACTACAAGATCTTGGAGTTGTCTTTGGTGGTGGGAGGGATTTTCTTTTATTCTTTCTAGCCTCTAAAATAATTTTTGTTTCATTCACAGCTCAGGCTGCCCCAGTAGTTGCACAGGGTAAGTCATGAGTGAGCATTTCTAAATGAAGAAGCACCTGTCAAAGGAAATGATTCAGCCATCTGAAATCACTGGAGGGATGGAAACTGCCTTGTCTGAGTTTACAGCTGTATTTTGACAAATACTACCTGTTTTTCCTCACTATGCTAAAACCATAAAGACTGAACAAGACCAGCTCTGATTTTTTTTTCCAGTGAAATAGCTGTCAGGGAGTAAATGCCATTTCATCACAACAGCATTTTTTTTCTCAGATACAAAGGATGGACTTGAGTGTGCATCTCTTTAGGAATTACGTTTCAGATTATCAAATTCTTTGATAAAAAAATCTGTTTCTTACCGATTTTGTTCAGAACCAACAACAGCTTTTTGTCTCCTCCAGAGCAAGTAATGGCTTGCTCCAGCTGGGGACACCGGCAGCCCATCGGATCTCTTGCATCTAAAACGTAATTTGAATAATTTGATTCAATTTAGAATCAAAAAGCAAGAGAGTATGATGTCAGCATCTCTGGCTAAATTATTCAGTTACTTATATGAAGATAGTTTTGTTGAAGAGACTGAGATATCCACTGATCCTTCAGATTGCTGGGAATGGGGGAGTTGAATTTAACATTTTGCTCAGACTAGTTTCAATCTCTCTCAATGTTTCCCTCCCTCCCTTTACAATTTTCTGGAGTTTTTTGGAAAGCCTCACATTCATTGCACTTAAAATAAATGACAAAACCTCAGGAGTTTTAGATGTGTGGTGCTGTTGCACCTAGACCTGCTGGTAGGCAGTGTAATCCTTACATCTGTGACATCTGCCTTCCTCTGGCTACATTACTAGGAATTTGTGTAAACACTGAAAGCAATTTAGATTACAGAATAAATCCTAAAGCTTTGCTTGATTCAAAAGACACACACAGTCATTCCATTTAGTTTAAGAACTAGGGTGACACTAGCAATTTACCTAGCATGTTAACTTCCTGACATTTAGCGTGGACTTTGCATATAGTGCATAAATATTCCATTTTGATGTTTCTCTAGCAGTTATTTTTCTGCTCTCTGCAGCTTCACCAGTACACTATGTGTATGCATCAAGCCCTACATGGTATACTAGTGGTAAGTAGTTTTAATTCTTTCTATTTAGAAGGAAAACATAAGTGGGTGTTTAAATAGCACAATTCTCAGAGTTTTTAGATGATTTATTTCCACAAAAACAACCTTTCTTCTTCCTCCCAGAGGACTTGTACTTCTATTTACTTTAAATAGCCTTGAATGTTTTTAAACAGATGAGTCACTGTGATTGCATATGGTCATTTTCTTAGTCCTCTTCCCACTTGCTAGGTTTTGTGATGGTGGTTGTCTATTCTCTACCCCTCCTGTCCTCATTAATAATTCCATCCTCAAAGATAAGCACTCACAGGTGCCCATTCTGATCCTGTAGCCCGGGTACCAAATTCTGCAGGGTCACAGGATAAATGGCACACACCTGGAAAGTTAGGGGGAAGAAGGTTGTAGTTCACTTTGGAGATACGGTAGCAGCTTCTCTGGGACATCCCCGCTCCATTTGACAGCTGGGCTGGACTAAGCTGGGCATACAGCTTATGCAGGAGCCAGTCCCTGCTGGACCCCTCTATCAGCAGATCCACAACCACAATTTTAAGTGTTCACGTGGAACTTTGACCTTGTGCATCGCTATACAAACACCTGTGACTTGCCTTTACAGTTGATGGAGATCCACACTTCATCATATCAGTGCCACAAAAAGAAGATGCCATTTGTTTCAATATCAATGAAAAACCAGGTGCTGTGTTAAGGTTGATAAATGATCCAGTTACAGGTGAGTTTGTCACTTTAAAATGCAGTAAATCAAAATACTTACATTGAAAAATCTTTTTTGTAAAGGCTACTTCTCTCTTTTTGTACTGCATGAACCATCTTTTCTGCAAAGTTAACAGGGGCTCCTATCACTGTGATAGGATACTGTTACCATGACTGTTTTCACTTCCTGGAATTGAATGATCTTTTAATTGTTTGAAAACTCTGTGGGAGTTGAGAGATGTTATTTGCCTCACCAAGTAGAGATAGGCTATAAAATAATCCTCAGTTTGCCATTTCATGGAGCATGTGGAAAAGAGATGGGCTGCTTCTGCCTGTCACAGAACTTCTGTGGTCCAGGAAATACTGAATTTTTATCAATGAAATAATGGTTGTCATTGCAGACACCTACAGAACAGCGCTGTTCCCTTACTGTACTTTTGCACAAACATGCTTAAGTGATTCTGAACTATTTTTCAATTTGGATTTGTTTGGTTGAGCTGCAGATAAAACTACCTCAACACTTCTTGACCTCAGCTGATTATCTGTAAAACAGTATTTGATGTTTCCTTTTGATGTTAGGCATCACAGTAAATGGAGAACTCATTGGTGACAAGAAAGTAAATAACGATGCAAAGATCCAAAATACATATTTTGGAAAACTTGGCATTGCAAACAAGCACCTGAATTTAAAAGTGACAGTAACTCCTGAGAAGATCACTATTCAGAATGAGACTGGAAAGACAACTTTCACCTGGCTTGACTCGGTCACGTTTCAACAAGAAAGGTAATGTCTGCAGAAAGAATATAGCAGATTGCTGGCTTATTTTTTACACTTTTGTGGGAGGGTTGATCAAAAAATGTGCTTTTAAGATATGTTGCCTGATTATGCAAAGAAACTCACCCTGATCCAAATAGTGCTGAGTTCTGCTCTCTACTTCATTATGTAACTGACAAATTATTGTATTGGTAACTTCTACTGCTTGGAAAGGTAAGTGCAATTTGCCCTGACTTTCCATTAGTATGACCAAGGTAAAATCACATTTTATATTGTGCTTAACACAGTGGTGACTTCAGCAAACACTGGAGGAATAATTTTAGTCATGATATCGAGAGCAGGAATAATAACGCTTAGCAACAAATTTCCATTTTGAGACATGGAGACTGTGATATTTATAGGATAGCGTATAATCAATCAATATTAAGATGTTATAATTATGAAAGAAACAAGAGAGTTTGACAAAGCAGATTATGATAACAAAAAGAGAATAAATGGAAGGCTTACCCCTGTCCTGGGCTCACTCACAAAACTCCAGCAGAGCCCATCTCCAGAAGAGCTCCTTCCCCCCTGGCAGCCAGCTCTTAAATAGGTCTAGGAGGGGAGCAGCCAGGCAGCCCAGCTGAATTGCCTTCACTGTGCTCCTCTGGCTGACTCAGTGCTCACCTCAGGTGATCAGTCAGAGGTTCAGGCCGTGGCTCAGCAGTTCCCATACAGACAGGTATGTTTTGTGCTGTCAGCAGGGATATATCTCATGAGATTTATGTGTTACAGAATTGTTTTCCTGCAGGAGAAAGCTTAGAAAAAGAACAGCAATACCTCCTCCTCCTTTTCATTTACATTGAGTTTCTCAAAGCACAACGCTGAAACAGAGCACTACAGCAATGCTGTGATTGATACAAGATACTTTTTTTTTTTTTAATGGCAACTAATTTGATGATACAGTTATCATAATGAGAAGCAAATCTTCTTCATCCTGGTGCTAACCAAGGCATTTCAGGAGTTGTCTTTTCTGTAGAACAAAGGGAAAAGATCTCGGGTAGCATCCAGGCAAGAAAGTGGTGGCTTTGTTAACACCATCTTTACTACCGAGCACGAGGTGCTGCACTAAATCTCTAACCTACCTGTGATTAATTGTGCTGTTACAGGAAGAGTTTTGATAGAAACATCATTCTGTAAAAGGCTTTTGCAGATGTGATGTAGTCTGAGTCTTGAACTGTCCATGAACACACAGATTCACCAAACAAAATACCTTAACTTTAACACACATCAAGTAATTAATTTATAAAGCCATGCTTGTTTGTTGGACATGTTTTGTTTGTCAGCTTTCCTGTGACAGCTGCTAACTCTGGGAAGCTCAATGCCCTGCCATTTTTTTTCTCCTCAGTTTAACTTTGATAATTAACAAGAAAAAAAGCCTGGAGCTCTCAATGGGCAGCGGCGCTTCGTTTGTGATAGTTTTGCACCAAGTATGGAAGAAACATCCTCTGCACAAAGATTTCTTAGGACTGTATGCATTGGAAAGTCATAAACTGTCTGAACAGACGCACGGATTATTAGGTATGAATTCTTTTAGCATCGTGAACATGCTTTCTTTCCTTGAGGCTAAATGAACTGCAGACACCACCTTGTACTTGCCCTTTCTGAACTGAGAAAGGGGATAAAATTGAGGCTATGTTGATTAACCATATTAACATTTCTGGAAAAATATTCTGGGCTCAGGCTTTGTGCAAGATGGTTTCTTAAATTCTTCTGCTGCTGCTGAGAACAGTAACATCTGCTGTTCTCAAGGACGTCTTCAAGACTCTACCTTGCTAAGTCCATCCACAGACCTTTTTAATAATTATTGCATCAGTTCCCCAGTCTCTTGGATGGATTGTTTTCTTCCTTCAGCATGTCCATTTTCTACTAAATATAAGCGCTCTGAGAAAGTAGTGTTTGCAGATCAGTTAAGATGTGCCAAACCACAATTAGTGCATCCCTGGTAAGAAAACTAGCTGGTTTCGTAAATGCGACGAATGCAGGGCTGCTGTCCGTGTGTGCAGAGATAGGATGAGGAAAGCCAAGGCGCAGGAGCTGAACTCAGGGAGGGATGTGAAAGATAACAAGGAGGGGTTC